TCAGACTCAATGACCTACTGAGGTCCCTTCTGACCCTAACATCTATGAATCTATGTATGTATTTATGTATGTAACCCATGCTGGCATGCTAGGCTGGGTGATATGCCAGATTCTGGATCCTCAGGGTACCAGTAGCCCTGGGAGCTTCCCCAGGCAGGTCTGCTGACTGAGGTGTCCCATGGAGAAGTGTGTCCCTTACCTTCACGGCCCAAGAATTTACTCTAAGTTCAATAAAAACTTTGGGTTTTTATTATACACAACTATATACAGAAAAGAAATGACTAAGCAAAAAAAAAAAAAAGAAAAAGGAAAAAATATATAACGATATATTTAACTATAGTTAACAAAAAAACTAACAACTTGAATACAATCTACAAATGCAACATTAAGCAAACAATTCCAACACACAAAGAGGTGCGGGGCCTGCCTGTGTCTCACAACCTCAACAATTATATTCACCTTGTTATAACCTTTTAAAAACAGTTTCCCTTAGGGTTAGAATCCACTCCCATTGCAATAAATGGCAACACAGTTATTGCTATCGTCCACCACTAGATGGTGGAGATAAGGCTCCTATTGCTTTGGGGACTCTGAAGTCCCTTCTTCAGACTGGCCACTGTGAGACAAGCCCCCGGTCAGGAGATGCAGGCAAATGGCTTCTTTTTATTTTTCCTGAAATACACTATCTGCAAACTCTATGGGGTTAAGTGTCCCCTCACACTCCCATGAGGTTTGTGCCTTTTCAGCCCACTCCTCCTCTGGGGCTGTCTCCCCTCCCAGTGCTTATACCTGCAGACAGGGGATTCCCCCCATCCTGCCCCAGCCCCCCGGGCAGGTCTTGGTTCCTGCAGCCCTGAGTCTTCCTAGCTCAGAGAGGGCTTCCTTCTGCAGGTCTCTAACCCAGCAGCTTCTCCTAGCTCCCAGCCAGCCTACCAGCTTCTGCTGACCATTCTCTTCCCCACTTCCCCCGGGGCACCTGTGTCCTGAAGCTGCACAGTTCCACACCCGGTGGAGAAATCAGCTCCTCTTGGGGCAACACAGGGTCTCCCTCATCCTGGTATCTGTTTCCTGAGCAAGTCTCAGTTCCCATTCCAGTGGTTGGGTGGAGAGGAGGACTGCATCTCTGCGCCTTCTCTCCAGACTGGAATCGGATCCTCTTCTTTCACTCTTTTAATGGTTTTTGGCTGTTTTATGGGGCAAACACAACCAATCAGAGCCCTCAGTTTGCAATAGGGGCTCGGGTACAGTGCAAATGATCCAATAAAAAGAATGCATGGTGCACAGCATACTTTTCTGCCTGGAAAAGCCATGGCACCCTGTGCAAACATTTTGCTGCCCTTTTACAAAGGTTGTTAGGCATAGCACACCCGCTTAGCTTGCAGCCCAGTGAGCTGTGCAGGTGTTACATGTATGTGTATACACATATATACACATGCATATATGAGGGTTAGAAAGAATGTACACCACATATACTCTACTTTAAAAGATAACCCTAGAACTATATTTTAAAACCATTTATCAGCTTTACTTAATAAAGACAAAAATCACACAGAATGGGTGCATCTGACATGATAAACTCTGGAGTTCTTTCTAGATGTGCACCCAGGACAGCAGCGCTTAGAGCCAGGGCATGGCAGGCCTGGGCTGGCAGCAGGCAGTGGCAGAGGGACTGGCTCAGACATGAGAGTGCCTAATGTGCAGAGCTGTGCGGCTAGGCAGCAGGCAAGAATCTGGCCCCCTGCTGCCTGGATTGACTGGGTGCAATTTACACGTGTGTTTCAGTGCACTAAATGACCCTGCCATAAGATAGTACTGTCAGCAATACTACTATCTTACAAAGAGTTAATTAGTTTTCTGCACCCTAACACCATTGTAGGTGTTATGCTTTACTGAGGTGCTAATTAGTCTACTCCAGAGTAAAGCACATGTGTAGTTGCACCCTGTATGTTTTCTGATGGCTGATAACAGAAGTAAATCTTAAGGTTTGAAAGACGCTTCATTCATATACAGAGCAGCACACCCAAATTCTGACCAGTTTTCAAAAGACAAAAGTATCTTCTGGGTAAAATCTTACCTACCTCACAAACTGCTTTTTTTGCTACAGTAAGAAATACTTTCTTTGAGATTTCCCAATACTCAAAACAAAAAACCTGAAGAGAATTATACTTACCTCTCATATTGGCAGGTACCTGAAGCTCATATTAGCACAGATGTGTATGTCTTCATTTCACAAGAAACATAATATAAAAAAGAGGTGGGTGAAACTTCCAAGGAGAGGCAGAAAACTAGGTTCCCAATCACCAGTGAAATTCAATTGGATTTGGATGCTCAGCTTACTTGAGTCCTCTGAAGATCCCAATCATTGTTATGTTGCTCAAGGTATCCTTATTCCCTGTTCTCTTTCACTTTTTAAGGGTCTGCAGCTGCTTGTGCTGGAGAGGCAGAGGTGGGAGCCTGGGAAAAGAATGGGAACTCATCCATTCTGGGGGAATGCAGTGGAATCTTATGCCCTCATATATGTGCCCTTTTCCAACTCTAACAGCAGCAATGTTCATTAGAATCCTTTGGAACTTGTAACAAGAAAAGACTGTATACCTGCTGTAAAGGCTCCCTGGACTGTATGCCTTCCCTCTTCCTTCTACTAACAGATAATTAATTTAGCAAATGTCTTGCAGCTTTGTCCACAAGGCAAGATTCTCACAACATTTTGGGCTTCTTTGTCTTGTTTCTGAGTGCAGCCAGTAAAGCTCACATTCTCTCTCCTTACTACTTTACTTCCAGGTGCTTCTTCACGTTCCTCTACCACCTTGGGCCAGTTTGAAATGCAAGTTCTGAGAACTGTTTTTTTAATGCCCTCTCATAGACTTTACTGTAATGGACTCTATGGGTGCCTACATACATGCTCCAACACATTCTAATTAGAACATGTTGAAGCAGACTTGATGAATCAATTATTTGAGTCTGCTCCGCTTTCTAATAAGAACACTTCAGCGTCACATATATAAGCCCCTGAGAGTTTAAAAATGGTCACTGGGGTGCTTTAACGAAAGCTCATCTAATGAGCTATAGCAAAAGCGTCCTATGGCCATTTTCAAACACAGGGGCTTAATACATGTGATGCTGCATCATTTTGATTAGATAATAACTGCCCTGGTAACTGCCTTAATTAAAACACTCCCGCCCCCAAGCACATGTGTAGGCAGCTGTGCCTGGGTCTTTCCCAGCTTGCTCCCTACTCTGAGGAATGCTCCATCTCGGTTTGTTCCTCAAACATCCAGCCACACTTCTAAGATTCTGAGGTGCTAAAATTCACTTGGTCCTGAATCAAAATCAATCCTGTGCAGCCATGCATGGATCTATAGGATGTGTCCGCTCCTACCCAGGCCCTTTTTCTTGACTGGAAAGATGAAGGAGAACACCAACTAAGCCCTTATCTCCTTTACCCTTTTACCCAGAGCCCTGTAGTCACTTTTGATCTGCTCAGGGTCACCTCTGTCAGTTAGAGAGATGGGTGAGTCTCAGTAATTCTTCTGTGACATCTTGGATCTGGGCTTTAGACAAGAAACAGACCTCCTGACAAACAGACAACAGGTCAGGCTGGCAGACAAATGCCTACAGAATGGAGTCTCCATCCATGACCACCCATTGCTTCCTTTTGGTGGCAGTAGCGTTGATCCTCCCAATCTTGGGGGTGCCTGGCCTGGCCTCCTCCACCAATGGAACATGCTCCTCCTCTGTTGCTAGGGCTCTATCTGTTCTCCAGCCTGCAGGTGCAGATAAAGACTTCTGCTTGCTGCCAGAGGTCACAAGCTACCAGCTTCTACCTGCTTGGGAGTCCATGCCTTCTTTCTTCTCCAGTATTGCCTCTGGCAGTCCTTCCTCTGCAGTCTTAGAGGTCTCCTCTAGCATTGAATTGATGAAGACCTCATGGTGGGGGATGCTTCAGAGCCTTGCCATCTTCTCCTGTAGCTCTCTTGCCTGCTTCCTGAGTGACACACCAGGAGGCACCACTCACATCCTAACTGACTGTCACTGGAAGGAACCTGCAAGCTGCAGTTCACTCTCCTGATAACAGGCCTCTGTTTCCCCAACAACTCTAGATAGCACTCTTCTTTCCTCTGGTGGTTAGTAAAGTAGAGATTGTAACTTCTGATTTATTAAATACCTTGACAGCTTCTTAACCTCAAGTGGCATTCATAGGGATGCAAGATAAGCCACAAATAGTTGTCACATATTGGTAAAAGATAATCCCCTGAAACAGTGTAAAAAGGCTTTTAGCACCACTGTGCAACTGGATAGCATTTTATGCATTATTTCTTTCACCACCTGCTGAAGGGCAGTTTGTTTGGCTGGTAGTGCCCCTATTATGAGGTTAGTTATTACACAATGACAGCTATCTTGTGAGATGATCATCAGTGCCTTTTAATAATTTCACTAGCATTTCAGAATTTTTTTTGTCATAATTTCTGAAAAGGCTTTTTACAGTCTCTACCTTATCCATAAACTAGTTTACACAGCTTTTTAAACCAAGCACAGTCTAGTATTGTATTTGACCTGTCTGTCTTCAAACAAACAAAAGTGCACTCTTCATATCTCCCAATTGTTTTACCTGTAAACAAAATAAACTTTTTTTTAATGTGCTAAACGCAAAAGGCTAGTGAGATGCTGTGTGAGCTTCTTCATATAAATCTGCCAGTGAATTTTCCTTTAAGTTGTTATTCTAGCCCTGGTTCTGTTTCAAATCAAGACGTCTTGTTGTGCATAACTGAGTGCGGTTTTGTGAATCGTTAGAAGGATTTAAACTGGGCCTCATATATAGACTTATAAAAAGAAAAAGTCCAGTACATTGCTATGACATATTTCAGCCTTGTTGTCAACATTCCAAGGATATGTGAAACAAAATTAGAATGCTAAGGAGATACTATTTTGATATAATTAAGTCTTCATGTTAAGGCTGGGGAGAGTTACCTTCTCATTTCTATCAACCTGGAAGCCATTGTTCATTTCAAATCAATTCACACTTCCTCCTGCTTAGACTAGAACCAAAAAGAAAATACAAGAAAATATCAGGGACACAGATGAGCATAATGACAGAGTCGCTGTAAGCCTTTGGAGAGGTAGTCTTAACCCTTTTACTTCCAATCATTCAGCTAATGAAATATCCCACTATATAGTTGAGGCAGACATCATTTTTGCTATTTATCCTATCCCCCTTTCCTACTCTCTATTGACTCATAAGAGAGAGTAGCCAATATAGTCAAATGTTCATACTGGCCCAGAGAGAGAATTTGATGAATTCAGCTTTGGAAAATTTTGCCACAGTGTTTCAGGGCCTAAGTGGGAGTTAACTTATTTTGTAAAGCCATGTACACACTTAGTTGAATTTTTCCTCTCCCCAATTCAATCCCTTAGCTGTGTCATTTTTGAAACTTGAAAAACTCTTCCTTACCTATAAAACAGCTGCTTTCTGATACTGTGGTCCAGAATGCCAGAGTAATATAATTCTCTGACTTGGTAACTACAACCCCAAAGAATTACCATATTGATGAGAGCCTAGTAGCTCTTCTTCAGTTGTAGCTTCTTGTGACCTTTCATTAGTCAAGAATGAAAACTAAATACTTAGCACTTAAGCATAATTTTACAAAGTTGGAAAAGTGGATATATTCCCAAAATGTGATATTTTTGATGTACATGCTAAACCCTGATTTGGTACATGAAAATTAGTACCTTCACATAGGTCTCAGATGAAGCACTTTTACAAATTCCCAACCAAGCATGAAGAAACATTTGAAATTACCTGCCTGCTTGAACAAAGGTTGAGGCCTACATGCTCATTTCATGCTGGGATATTTTTTGATAATCAATATTTTGTAGTTTCAGAACTGCTCCCCATTACAGCACAGCCTTAAGCTTGCATTCCGAAGCTATTGAAATACTAAGCAACTAGGATTATGATGTCTTGAACGGAAGTCTATGAGAGACAGTCATAGAGAGCTGAAATAATTCCACAAGCATCATTTGTGGAACTTCTTCCCAATTCTTCCTTTTATAATATAAGTTAGGGGTGGGCAATTATTTGGGCCCACAGGTCACATAGGGAGTTTAGGGGAGCTGTTGCAGCTAGGTCAGAACCCCCTCTCGCCCCCCACTTCTCCAGGAAGAGCTCACCAAACTTCTCTATGTGGGATGAGGCTGTAGGTGGGTGGGGGTGGGTGGGAAATGGGGCTGGGGCAGCAGCTTCAGCAGGTTCAACCTACAGCCCACCCATCTATGCCAAAAATGGGCTTAGGCAGATGCTTTGAGAACCAGGGGGAAGCTACCACCTGCATCTGCATCTGATGCTGTCTTGGGGTTGCCCTGTGGCTCCTCCCTGCTGCTGCTGCCTCATACCACCTCCAGGTCACCCCAGGCCTGTGGGGTGGTGATGGTGACAGTGGGGAGGAGCCACAGGGCAACCCCAGTGTGGGCTCTGGGCAGCCACAGCCTGAAGGGCCCCATAAGAACTGAGTGCACCCACTGCCAAGTCCTGCTTTTGCCAGGTGCCTAACAGTGGCTACTGTCACTCATCATAGGCAGGGCCGCCTCTCTGTCTGCCCTTTCATCCCCTTCCAACCCCACCTTTAGTCCCATTCCCTTCCCCCCCACCACAACCACACCTACCCCATGGCCTTGTAGCTTACACCAGCTCCCAGCCTGTATGCCAGAAGTAACACTGGGTGGGTGCTGCCATCAGCTGTGGATGCAGGCAGTAGCTCCCCCCTGGGGATCAGGAGATCCTTCTTGGTCTGCAGGTGATGCTGCTACATCAGTGCATCAGCTGCAGTCCCAGGCAGTTGCCCTGATCCCTGGTGGGAACCTGTATGCAGCATCCACAGCTGATGCCAGGTGCACCTGGCACTGCTTCCAGCATGTGGGGCAGGGGCTGGTGTAAGTGGACAGGGCCAGGATGTGACTGCCTGCCTGACATGATGCAGCAGCTGGAACCACTGACTCTTTATGGGTCATATCCTGTGACTTGCAGCCACCAACCTGCAGGCTGGATACAATCAGTTGGTGGGCTGGACCTGGCCTGCAAGCTGTACTTTGCCACCCTTGGTCTAAGGTTTTGGTATTTTATTCCATAGGGAAATCAAGGTGCACCTCGCTCAGAAATTCTGGTTTTCACAGAGTCTGTATCAGATATATGGCTTTCCTGGATTCCTATCATGATGGGCCCTTTGGTTGATTACCCTTGAAAAAGGGATGTCCAGTCCAACAGAAAGGTCTCTAAAAGATAGCTGGTGCATTGGCTATGGCAATCACCCTGAAGAATTTTGGCAGGATGATAAGGTCGCTGGAGGAGCGCCATGCGTTATAGTGCCTACAATGAAGGCAGCTGGCTTCTATTAGCTTGGAGGAAATGTTATGTGTGGAGTTATTTACTTTGACCAAAGTCCATAAAATGACATGGACATGGATTATAGGCAAGGGAGACAAACAAAACACATTGAATTTTTAGAATGTATTAGTTATAATTGCAACACACAGACACAGGTGATCTGAAACTAATTTTTAAAGCTGACAATATTTACTTGTTAGGCATTAAAAAGTCTTAAATTCATTCTTTTAAATTATTTTAAAGATATATTTCAAGTCCTAAATGCTGAATAGCAAATATATAAAACATTCTGCTTATTGATCTCTACCATTATCAGAGAAACTTTAAAAATATATGTTTACCATAAAAAACCTCTTCTTTTAAGGTATGCAAAAATGTTGGCTTCTGTGGAGCATCCAAGTAGAGGGGCCAAATTAAAATATGTCTGGTTATGTTTTCCCATTATTCTGTATTATGGCATCCTGCACCTATGTTCTTTAGAGGCCAGGTACAGACATTATACTTTTACCAGCATAAGTGATTCAAAACTGGTCTATACTCATAACAGAAAAGAAGTTTAGCACACAAAACCAGTCTATACCTATAACAGAAGTTGAGCACACAGGCCATGTGTAGAGGAAACGAGGGCCGTGTGTGCATAACACTAAAGCAGGCTAAACGCTTTTTCATCGCTTTAATGGTGTCAGTGTTTAGATGCCTCAGAGGTGTATTGCACATTAATTCCAACCGCTGTAGGAAATGTGGCAGTGTAATGCACTTTTGCTGTACCCCAAGTCATTGCTGCACCCCAGTTTGATGCTCCTACAGCTGTGGAATGAAGTACTGGGCTTCGTGCAGCTCCATGGCTCTGCAGGCAGCCTGGCAGCAGCCTGGGAAAGCAGGTTCTGCTGAAGAAACGTGGCAAGCCTGATCTTTTTTTCCCCCACTGGAGCCTGCCTGCCTGAGCTGCATGGAGGCCTGGTGCTTCCCTCCATGGCTGTGGTGCCCCCTGGGACCACCCAAGCCAGGTGTCTGCAGGCAGGTGCCACTTGTGGGGAGGGGTTGCTGCTGCCACAGAGGGAAGCACCCCTCCCCCCCATCCCAGGGACTGCTCTGCCCACCAGCAGCTTGCCCTCCCCTCCCCACTGCTGGAGAGGCAGGTAAGTCGGATGTGTGCACAACACGGGGATTTAATCAGCCCTAATTTGAAGCAGTATTTTTAAAAAGCCATGCTTCAGTTTAGGGCCCCCATTTCATCTACACAGACCCACGTAGACTAGTTTTAAAATGGTGAAATTCAGTCTAAGATTTGCCCCCCCCCACACACCAAAAGGCAAATGTGTGTTGTGTTCACTACCTGATCTAGACTACGCTGCTTAAAGAAAACTGTGCAACTTAGATCCATTCTGCTTTGGGCTTATTGAACATCTGTACCTAGCCTCTGTGCAGGTTGTTATTTTAGCTTCTCATCAGGGCAGTAAGAGTATTTGTACAGAAAGACTAGCCTATCAGTAGCACAACCATATGAAGGTGGTACTTATCTACAGGCTGTTCAGACCATAGGAATGGTGTATACTGCAGCACCAACAGGTAGATTACATTTGCATTGTTGTCACAGGCTAATGTTAGATTCCTCTGTTGCAACACTGGGTGTCTGAGAAAAACAGCACATGAAGCATGGAGGTGAGGGTAAGGGTATTAAAGAAAAAAAATGGAAAAAGTGGTTTGTGGTCACTTAGAACTGCAAAAGAATGGACAAGAACAAGGTGGTACCAAAAGCTACCCGGAGAAGTAGGCTAGATAAAATGCTTTGTAAGCAGGTTGCTTAGTCCTCTGGATTCTGAAGACGGATTCGCTCCCTAAGAAGCTGCTCAGCCAGTCCCCCACCCAAGCAAAGCAGTGTTTTAAAAAAGCAAAACCAGAAGCCTTCTATCCTGTGTTAGACATGAGAAAGGAAGCCGCCTTTGCTCTGGCCATGGCATAGTATCCTGGCACCTCATAGCAGCACACTATTCCATTCACAGCTGGCTTCCTCCTCTTCTCTGGTTACTCTTCTGGGAGCTTTTCAAGCTCCCACTGGGGCACTCCCTGTGTAGCCAAATACCCCACAATTGGGCTTTCTCAACACAGCTGCCTACCCTGTTACATACTTACAGGGAAATTTGGTCCTGACATACAACTCAGGATGGGTACTAGTTCTGAGTGTTTGCCTATTTAAAGACTAAGTTCCCAATTTAGAAAAGTACTTAAGTTCTTGTCTAATTTTAGTTGTATGCTTAAAATGTGTTCAGG